CGCACCCGGCGGCCCTGGGGGTCCCCCGCCCGGGCTCGGGGCTGCGGCGTAGCTCCCCGCCTCGGTGGGGGTCGGCCCTGGTATCTAGAATGATCCAGGGAGGGCAGGAGGGGACCCCGGCTTCGTGGCCGGCGAGGCCAGGCCCGGCCAGGCCTGGCCCGGCCCGGCCCAGGTACCGGAGGCTGATGCCTGTTCGTTGGTACAAAGGGCAGGGGGCAGCGGGCTGAACAGAGCGCTCCTCTGCGGTGACAGTCACCAGGATACTGCCATTTTAGGACATGAGTTAAACCTTGGTTTCTGTTTGTAGTGGTAGCTGTCTTAGTTAAGCAAAACAGGCTTTTCACTTTCTGTCACCGAGAATGGCTTGGTTTTGAGAATAATTTCTTAGACTATAGGATTGGACCAGTCCTGTAGTCCCCGTGATTAAAAGCAGCGATTGCCCAATACAGTGGTGGCATATGTTACAAAGCTTGCCCTAACCACATAAGGGCAGTTACTGGGCGCAATATTGAAATGCAAATACTTAGTAGATCAGATCTCACCAACTGGTGTGACAGACACTTCGGGGAGTGGCTGAGTTCAGGGGAGTGGAGGGTGAATTTCCAATTCCCAGCTCGCTCTTGCTCGTGCTGCCCAGGGTCTCACAGCCTTCTTACCTCACCGGATAAGCCACTGAAAATAAGACACTGGATCGGTTTGCCATCCCAGGGAGGGAAGCCTGGGCAGAGCAGCAGAGTACAGCCTCGTCTGGCCAACTCCTGGTTACATCAGAATAAAGCAATATTTATGATCAAAATCTCTTGTTCACAGTTGTTTTAAATACAAGTTTTAGGGGATAGTTCTCCCCTGTATGTGCTAACTAGACACTGTTCAGTAATCATGATGGTTTACTGCTAAAAACAGGTTTGCAAAATACAAGGGCCCCTGGCTGCTCTTGGCCAATTTTCACGTACTACGAACAGCAGTCAGGTACCGCTAGTGCTAAAAGCAAAGAAGGGTCACCAGCAGGAGGAAGAAAATTGCACTCAATCTGAGATACACCTGCATGCAGGTTTTTACTTTTTAATCACAACGGTCGTGTGAGAACCAGTGTTCAGCTAAGTTAAAAAGCAAACTTCCTAGTCAGCAACAGAATAAACATGATTGAACATCAATAATTGGCTCCCTCACAACTTACTTTTTTTACCAGCCTTGTCCTGCTGTATCTTTCAAACAACTTAAATCAAAACTTGTCAAAGTAGAATCACTCCCCTATAATGTAAACATTTTCACCACCAGCACCAAAAAAAAAACACAAACCCAACACAAAAGCTCCTGACCAGCAAGACATATGCCAGCTCTACCCTCTTTGTCCTTAGAATATTGTTCCCAAAAGCAGTTTGCATAACCCCATTGCAGAATTGCAGAGCTGCGTGGCTGCATCCTACCCATAAAGTACTACTTGTAACAAAGCTAGGAGTTCCTGCTGCACTAGTGTTATCTGAGGGCAGCACAAAAAGAAACTAGGAATCCCTACGTTATATAACAATAATTAGGGTTTGATAAACTGATTAGATTGCTATTACAGGGATTGCACTAGTTAGGCCAGAATGCACCTCCCAAAGCATGTTACCATTAGCTTTATTACCACAAACAGCAGACTGTATTAGTATTATCCCACAAGCTATATTCTACATAATATCTTTCTCCCATAATATCCAAGAAGTACAATATGACCTCATAGCCAAACACCAAATAAAACCTTTTAAAACCCTGTGTCCTTTAAGGCCGGCTATTACTGATAGCTAGAAAAATTCCAAGCCATGTACCTCCCACATACATATCTTGCCCCCCACCACCTTAATTTAGTAACTGGTACTATAACATCCTTTCTTAATCAGTCTAGCAGGTAACTGAATCTCCATCTGACAGGAAACCCCTTTCTAGAGCTGTGACTGTGTGACTCCTACCCATCCGATCCATCTGCTAGACCAAGTAAGTCAAATGGCTGAGGTATATGTAGACACAGGGTGACTTAAGTTCAACAACTTGTACTCTAGGAGGAGAAATTTGCACTGGAAGAGTCACTTTCATTGTTCCTTTGTCCAACCTGACCAGATTATTACAGGATTGGGGATCTTAGTGGAAATGTGTGAATGATCCTTTATAAATGGTTTTCAAGTCAAAATGCTCAAATCAGCAAATCTATATTTGCAGCAGCAGGAGGATCCTTGTTAATCACTGGCATATGTGGGGCAAAGAAATCAACAGCAATAGTAAAAAAGCTACTTTAAACGCTCTTTCCATAATTCCCATTACTCTACTATGAGACTGATTTGGACTATAATCTGATTTGGAGCAAGCTAGAGTCTTTGCTTTCTACTCAGTGCTTGTAGTAAACAACCAGTTATTTCTTCTGTTAACATATGGCAAGACTGTATGTCATGACTTTAGAATGAGCTTTCCCGCCTTACTTTCTTTTTTGTCTTCCGCTAATACCTCAAAAGTATTTGAACATAACAGTTTAACCAATCTCTCCTGTTGTGTTTTCAATTCCAGACGTATTATGTATGTACTTTGAGGCACAGAGTGACCAAAGCCAAATTAAATTACTTTCCCTCCAATGTCAGTAAGGGCTTTCTTGTATAGAAGTTTCAGGAAAGGAATAGTCTTTGATTATCTAACAGATTCTGCTTAATACTACGTATGTTCAGCTTTATTCCATGTCATCTCATAAATAGCTGGTTTCAGAAAGGAGCTAAAGAATAACAGCCTAGCACTGTCTTTACCTCTGTTTATATTTGTCCACATAATGTGAGACAAGCTTTTGCCATAAAGACATGCAAAAACAAAGTCTTGGCTTTTTTAAATTGTATCTTGCCTTGCTCGCACAGCAGAGAAAAATTAAGTTTCATATTCAAAATGTAAATTCCCTGATACCTGGTAGAGATAGATAAATTTGAAGAGTCAGAAACAGTGGCATTTCCCTTAGCCAAGGACCCTTCTCTCAAATGTTAACATATTTTTTAAAGGCTGGTGTTATGTTTATATACTTTCCTTGCTACAATGGCCACATAAATATTAAACAAGCAAAGCAAAACACACAAAACCCAAAAGCGTAAGTCAGCAGTATATGTAGATGAGAGTACCAACTGCTGCACAGTATTATTTTCCATTACCTTATTGTATCACACAATGTCAAAATGATACCCTTGAACAAGACAATACTGTAAAGCTTATCCTTGTACAGATGGTTGTCATGACCACAATTCAGTAAGGAAGGAAAATTAGATCCCAGGCCATTTTCTGTGCATTGTTTAACCAGGGGAACAGTGAGGAAGCTCACCTGGGATCTTCCTATGTTAAATCAAGATAAATATGGTACATCTGTTTTTACAAAAACATAATAATTAGTGAGACAATGCACATGTGCTGCATTTATTATGGCTCAACTTAGAAAAGAATCTTCAATTTCAAAATTTAAAAAATAGGTAAGTGGTGTTTTAAGATATAAAGAAATTTGTATTAATTGTCTTACAACTAGCTAACAGTTGTTATCATAAAATTACAGTAATTCTATCTGTATACTAAAGATGTAAAAATAGCACTGAAAACATTTTTAAATAGACATATTTACATATTTTTATAGACAGACAGGAATATGAATAATTTTCCATTCTCATGTATCAACAATACAGAGGAAAATAATATTACTGGCTGTAAGGTACTCTTATACTGCTCTTCACACAGAAACCCTTTTTTTCTAGCACAAGAACTTTGCCATTCCCATCTTTTTTATCTTCTCAGAGTTCAGGAAATCCTGTAAAAACTGTCCTGTACTCCATCATCTTCTTGTGAATGTCAGGATCTTGCTTGATAAATCTTAAACTGTAAATATCCTTTTAAATGTGTTCACTGTCGTGGTCATTGTTGACCCAATTTAGCCAGTCAAATACTATTTTTTTCTGTTAAATTAAATATACAGAAAAACAACATATTTGCACCACTAATCCTAAGCAATTATTTCTTCATTCCTATCTCCTTAATATTAACAATCTACTGCTTGTAACTTTTGAAGATAGAATATTATGAGAGTATTGCAGTCCTGTCTTTGACTGTTAAGTCTCTAAAGTGCTTCTGCAACACGTGCATTAAACAGCAATTACTGAGTGGGTTAGTATATGATCTGTTTGTATCACAATCTTTATTAGCCTTTGAACTAAGCCACATTTAAACTTGAAAACCATTAGAAGGTTGTTTACCTTCTAAAAAGTAACAATTAGCAATCTAACTGTACTTTAAATCCTTCCCTGACACTATTACTCATAGCATCAAAGACTTAAAAAACCCAAAAACTATGGGTGTTAGCTCTGCATCTAGTAACAGACACTTCAGATGCTTGAAAAAATGTCAGACAAGCTGCAACTTAAAAAGTCCTTAATACTTGATTCACTTAAACATTTATTACATATGTGTAACCTTTCTGAAATTACTTGTAAAACATAAGTCAGGATTTTATATGACTGAGTGGTCTTTGGTAGGTAGATAGATAGTTCTTCAGGTGCTCTATAGTTCACAAAGCACTTACAAGCTATTAAATGTTCGCATAATTCTAATATAAGACCTTAGTTATTCCTAATTTGCAGTTCATACCCTGCCATGGCTGAAATCTCTCTGTTTGCTGGAAGTGGCTGAACAAGAAGCA